AATGGGCACGTGCATTTCGTGCAAGATGCCCACATTGTGTATTTTGATGCAAATTGTTAGTTTATTGATGTGCCTAACATAAAAACACAAAATGGCCCGAATGTCGCTGCAACAAAGAGGAATTGTCATTGGGCTATTACAGGGCGGCGCACGATGCCTAGCTGTAATCAGAGCAAACGGAGGACATACGAGGTATTGACTAAATTGACTAAACTTGAAGGTATTTGATTTTTTTACAATGGTGATCTCAGTTACTGATTTTCTGTTAAGTTTGAGTTATTGTAAAATGCATTAACTATTATAAAATGATGATACTATGATTAAAGTTCATACAGTATCGACTTAGACTAGTTATCCCTAGTAATTCTAACACAATATAGTAAAAAATTGGTCGGAGTACTTATAAGTTTTGTTAAGTGTATTACATTAAGTATAAAGTAATGTATGTATTGTGTTTTAATAAAATATTGTGATTTATAAAGTAATATATATTTTGCATTTTTTTGTTTGTACAAGTGTATTTTGAAAATTTCATTGTAAATTATGTATACTTTTGTTTTGGAGTCCGACATGGAATACTGGGTAACCAAATGTGTAGCCTCAGTAAAAAAAGTCTTTACTTACTCTTATTTATTCACTCACTCACTCACTTACTCTCACTTACTTTACTTACTTACCTACTTAATCACTTTACACCACTCACTAAAAAATACCTACTTAATCACTTTACATTACTTACTTAAAGTTAAAATTTTATGCTCCAGTCAGATGGTAATGGCCAAGTCTACAGACAACAGCAGGATGGACAGTTCCTACTGCAAAATCTATATCCCTCCACCGTTTGTAGAATTTATAGGTGTATTTTTCATCATTAAAGGACTAGACACTTTGCAACTGTGTTTGCCTTTCTGCATTCTGTTGATGAAAATAAATCCTCTCCAAGTCAGTATATCTCATTCACTTATTGTTTACATTGGTAAAAAAATTGTCAGCTATTTCTGTAGTATGGTAAAGAAAGGTGGCAGTTGACAGAGCTCTTGTAAATTAACCTTATCCCAGAATGTCTCATTTTATAAATGTAAAGACTTTTAGCCACAAATAAATTATAAGGATCTCTGAACAGCCCGGGATAACTAGATTGTGGGAAACTGTTTACAGTGGTAATGAGGCTCTGCCGAGTTGTTGCTAGACAGTTAAACAGTTACCCAAGACCTAGATTTCTGGTCTGTACAGGCAGCTGCAGCTGCTGGTGTATGATTCTTTTTCTTGCATATAACATAATATTTTATAAATCTGATTTCTGAAAGAAATCACGAAAACTAATATTTTAGTTTAGTACTTCTTATAGTAGACTATATTCGTAATGACAAAATGATGACATTTAATGAATGCAATACATTCACAAAAGGCTTGCAGGAATAACGTCATCTAAAGCATGCGACTTATTTTGTTTTGTTTGTTTCATTTTACGCCTTTTCCCAACAGTATTTCAGTCATATAGGCGGGTAGTTTCCTAACCATCATTCCTGGAGAGTTACACCAGTACTAGACTACCTTCCTCCGTGCTAAACTACCAAAGCATCTCCCGGGGATCGAACCCACGCCAGAGAGGTAACTGGATTAGAAGTCATCGACTCTAACCCCTTAACCACGGAGGCTATTTGTCTTACATGGGGAGTGTGAGACTAATGATATCTGTCATATGTTCCAGTTCTGATATTTTTTCTTGAATATTCTACCATATTCCATTATATTTTAATTTCTTTACCTTAATAAAACAATTTTCCATGGAAATTTATGTCATTACACCTGTAACTATTTTCTTACAAACAGCGTATGAACTTACAATTTCATTCATAACAGAAAATTACTTCATCCTAAGCATTCCAATGTACAGCATGCGACTCATCTGGTACCCCAATGCCAGATGAAATTTCCGGCATGGGTAAAGCTAACGGAAACACCAGTCTGATATGCAAGAAATGTTTTTCTATCACAGATGTAAACAGTAGATAATCCTTTCTGACTTGCCAAAATATCCTGTAAATGTCCTTTTACTTGAAATGACTTTGTAAAAAGAATTGATCAACTCTAGTTTAAGGTTATTATACTTTAAATAGAATAGAAACACTGTAAAACTTGTTTATATATTTATTGTCATGGTTTAATTTACTACAGTGATCATCAACTACATCACTAATGAGCCGTGTCATGACAAAACCAACACAGTGCGTATGCGACCAGCATGGATCCAGACCAGCCTGCGCATCCGCGCAGTCTGATCAGGATACATGCTGTTCGCTATCAGTTTCTCTACTTGTTACAGGGTTTGTAAGCGAACAGCATGGATCCTGATCAGACTGCGTGGATGTGCAGGCTGGTCTGGATCCATGCTGGTCGCTAACCCATTATGCTGGTTTTGTCATGGCATGGCTCAATGTATTATCTACATAATTATATAAAACTCTATACAAAAAATGAATTTTCCTGTATCAAAAACGATCAACACAATTTCATAATGCCTTTTTTATAATAAAACAATGTGCAAAAATAATGCATGAACAAAGACTGGTCCCTTTCTTTAGATAAAAAAAATCCCCATCTTTAACTGCTGCTATTGTAAGAGAACCCATCCATAAATATGGTCAATACTGATGAATACTGATGAATGTTTCAGTTTATTTATCTAAAATGATAATTAAACAACGCCTTACATATGTATCAGAATCTCCCATTTGTTTTGGCATAAGCACTTTGTTACAGTATTTCCGTCAAGTACCTAATGATTGCTACACTGTCTCAAAGAATTAGTACAAAATTATACCTATAATACAAGCACGTACTTATGTAATGTGACTGGCTACAGTTAAGTTGAACAAATGAAGTTTGGCATATTGTTTACAGGCAATCTAATTGTAGAAAATATATGATGGGCCTTGAACTTCTAATGTCTAAAATATATACAGTGCCAAGAACTCAAAAGGTCCAAAATATATGTTATGCCAGAGATGTTTATATATATGTACATGTAATATAGCTCCATGACTGTGCCTGAAACTTTTAAGATCCAGAAGAAATGCAGTGTCTACAACTGGTCAGATACATAATATAAGCCGTGTTCTGAAGTAAAAAAATGTGAGCTGTACACAACCACTTCCCCTTCTCAGCTAACCTGGTAAGTTGAAAACGTTTTTAGATCTTTGATAGCAGTAAATATCTTTACGCTTACATCTTATATCACTGTATCAGTGAATATCTTCACTCTTACATCTAATATCACTGTATCAGTGTAAAGCTTCATCTCAGCTTTACATTTTACACTAAACTCTTTTAAATGTTTCAAATACCGAGAAACAATTGCTGTAAAATTCCATTTTTGTCCCTTGAGAATACATTATTGCAAGCTGCACTTAAACAAGTGTTAAATAAACCAATACGTCTTCTAGAGATAATGTTTAATATTGAATTATTAATGCCTTGGGATAGTTTTAAACACAGTTTCTTAATTCACTGATCAACTTTGATCACATATCAAATAAACAATGTCATACTGGTGAAAAATAATTCAAATTTCATTATTTGTAACTCTGTTGTGTATTGTCATTTTATGTTTGAAAATTACTCAATGAATTGGTGATTCATACAGGATACACTGGTTGATAAAAGGCACGAATGATTTCCAGGTTCATAAAGGGGAATAATTCAGTAAAGATTCATGCTAGAGTTATGGATCTTTTCAAACTGCTTAACAACCTTTAAATATTTTTTCTTCAATCTTGTTGGGTACCTTACAGAAATTATGTAATGGATTTAATCTGCTTCAAATTTGTATAAAGTATACTGTAAAATAAGGGCAATTCAATATGAAAATTCCAGATCATGTATTCAAACAAGCAGATGTTTGTGAACAATATATGCCTCACAAATGACAATGACGGACAGAGAGACGCTGTGCAAAGCAATTTACCATTACTTCTTCCAAGGGGGGCATAATAATACATTATCAGACACTACTTCAACAATAAAACATATTTTGTCCTGGACATTTTACCTCAAAGCAAGTAAAGTTATAAATACAATGTGGAGCACTTAGTTGTAAGCAATCAGTTTTTTTCATAACAAAGCTTTTAGACAAATGAAACACTTTTCAAACTATTTTTGAGACAGTTTTATTCCTGTTTGGAGTACCATAAAGGGTTAATATTAAAAGGATCGATTAACAGTACACATATGTTGTTTTAAGTCCTACCATCTCATCTCATTTTATACAGTATTCTCTTGAAAAATTGATCAAATTTAACACATTACTATTCTAAACAATAGTCTGTTATTTTAAAGTTGAAATGATCATTATCTGTTTTTATTCAATAGAAAAATAACTATCCGCACATCTCTTGAAAAAAACCAACAAAAGAAACAATTTTCATTTTCCATTGTTTCATATATAACTTTAAGGAACAACACAAGTCCTGTGATCCCTTGTTTTGCTGATATAAAGTCATATATAGTAAATATCATATTGAAAACCTGTGTAAATATTTAAATACACCACCAGATAATTATGTGTGTGGTTTTTACTGTTCTAATTGTACAGTTAGTTAACTTGGCTGTAACAGGCCTGAATGAGCTATACCAGAAGTCTTCTCACTTTCCACAAATGATTAGAACAGATTGATGGAGCACTGGGACACATTATTTCAGTGTTGACACTTCTCATATCCTTGTATATTGATCAAATCTTGTTTGCTACTCGTACAGTCACGGTGGAGTGTGAACACATTTTCTCATTTCTCATTTTTGCCGACAATGGAAGAACAAAATTTTGTTGAGTTTATCTATTTATACTACATAACTAACACAGACATCCAATTACAATTTGAAATAAAAGTTTTATATTTTCTATATTTAATTTTCATTAAAAGTCACTGCAATAGATCATTTTATTTTCATCTGTCCCTGAATAATTTTTCATCTTGTACAATGACAATGAATTGTTTTCCTTCAGTTCAAAACAGAACATAAAATAGATGTCATGGCATAACAATATATTTAACAACATCATACAAGTACTTTGGCACAGACATAATGACTATTTTCATACATCTGAAGGTGTTTTCTCATCACAAGTCATTATCTTTGATATATCTGACAATATTCTGGAAATATTTTTGTCCAATGAAGACTGCTCATTTCCGTCGAGATATACTGAAAGACAGATAGAGAAAACAATAATTACAGAACAGTCTGGTTCATTAACAACTTGTCATAGATAGTCTGCCATCTCTAAAACTGTACCAGTCTATAATTCTGTCACACTGTACCAGTCTATAATTCTGTTATATTGTACCAGTCTATAATTCTGTCACATTCTACCAGTCTATAATTCTGTTATATTGTACCAGTCTATAATTCTGTCACACTGTACCAGTCTATAATTCTGTCACACTGTACCAGTCTATAATTCTGTCACACTGTACCAGCCTATAATTCTGTCACACGGTACAAGTCTATAATTCTGTCACATTGTACCAGTCTATTATTCTGTCACATTGTACCACAAACTCCTCACAGTGATTACCTCCCTTGGCAGAATTGTAATTGTAATCACTGCCTTCAAAGACGTCACATGATGATGAAAGTCACATGACTAACGTCGAAATTCAAATGTAAATATCGACCGTTACAAAGAAAATCTAACGTTATTTTTCTCTTTCTGTTTTATTTTTAACTTTTAGCGCCTAAGGTCGATATAGTTTATCAAAAAATTATCGAAAGTATACAAAATAACGAAAAATAAATTCAAAAGCTAAAAAATATAAAATATCAAAATATCGTCTCGGTAGAAAATATATCATAATTTTTAAAATTATTTCTAAATATTCATATTATTTATTTATTTATTCATAAACATTGTTAAATAAATGAGAGAAAACTTATCTGATAGATAAAAGCAGTAGATAAAACAATTTTTAAAAAAAAATATAGTATATCAAAAATTCTGATATATCGGGACCTTGGTGGCAGAGATCTACACCGAAGTATTAAGGGGAGATCACTGTGTGGAGATTGATTGTACCAGTCTATAATTCTGTCACACTGTACCAGTCTATAATTCTGTCACATTGTACCAGTCTATTATTCTGTCACATTGTACCAGTCTATAATTCTGTCACACTGTACCAGTCTATAATTCTGTCACACTGTACCAGTCTATAATTCTGTCACATTGTACCAGTCTATAATTCTGTCACATTGTACCAGTCTATAATTCTGTCACACTGTACCAGTCTATTATTCTGTCACACTGTACCAGTCTATAATTCTGTCACACCATACCCGTCTATAATTCTGTCACACTGTACCAGCCTATAATTTCTGTCACACTGTACAAGTCTATAATTCTGTCACACTACCAGTCTATTATTCTGTCACATTGTACCAATCTATAATTCTGTCACATTGTACCAGTCTATTATTCTGTCACATTGTACCAATCTATAATTCTGTTACACTGTACCAGTCTATAATTCTGTCACACTATACCGTCTATAATTCTGTCACACTATACCTGTCTATAATTCTGTCACACTGTACCAGTCTATAATTCTGTCACACTGTACCAGCCTATAATTCTGTCACACTGTACAAGTCTATAATTCTGTCACACTACCAGTCTATTATTCTGTCACATTGTACCAATCTATAATTCGGTCACATTGTACCAATCTATAATTCTGTAACATTGTACCAATCTATAATTCTGTCACATTGTACCAGTCAATAATTCTGTCACATTGTACCAATCTATAATTCTGTCACATTGTACCAATCTATAATTCTTTCACATTGTACCAATCTATAATTCTGTCACACTCTACCAGTCTATAATTCTGTCACACTATACCCGTCTATAATTCTGTCACACTATACCTGTCTATAATTCTGTCACACTGTACCAGTCTATAATTCTGTCACACTATACCCGTCTATAATTCTGTCACACTGTACCAGTCTATAATTCTGTCACACTGTACAAGTCTATAATTCTGTCACACTACCAGTCTATAATTCTGTCACACTGTACAAGTCTATAATTCTGTCACACTTACGTGACCAGTCTATAATTCTGTCACATTGTACCAGTCTATAATTTCGGTCACATTGTACCAGTCTATAATTCTGTTACACTGTACAAGTCTATAATTCTGTCACATTGTACCAGTCTATAATTCTGTCACACTGTACCAGTCTATAATTCTGTCACACTGTACCAGTCTATAATTCTGTCACACTGTACCAGTCTATAATTCTGTCACATTGTACCAGTCTATAATTCTGTTATATTGTACCAGTCTATAATTCTGTCACATTGTACCAGTCTATAATTCTGTCCCACTGTACCAGTCTATCATTCTGTCACATTGTACCAGTCTATAATTCTGTCACATTGTACCAGTCTATAGTTCTGTCACACTGTACCAGTCTATAATTCTGTCACACTGTACCAGTCTATAATTCTGTCACACTGTACCTGTCTATAATTCTGTCACACTGTACCAGTCTATTATTCTGTCACATGGTACCAGTCTATAATATGTCACACTTATTAGACAATTATATCTCTGGTTTTATTGTTTATCAACAGGGCTCTTGTTAGCATTTTGAGACTGGGACCAGGGTCCATGCGGGTGGAGGAATTTCGCATGATTTTGAAATATTTTTCATTCAAGGTGGAATTTCAATAGAAGAAAATTAATTCATTAAAAACAAGTGAAAACAAGAATCAGTTAACAAATTTATCAACAATAAGCTGCTGTCATGAAATATTCTGGATATTTCCAATGGAATTGAATACATCTTTTATATTTTGTATAAAAATTCAACTTAAAAACTTGATCTCTGATCTATGGCAGTTAAATATTATTTTCGACAGGGATTTTTTTTTGGTTTTAGGGGGAAGAAACACACTATTTTAATGGGGGAATGTGGCCTGTATTCGGCCCCAAATTTTCTGTAAACAAGATTCAGTAACTCTTAATACATTTCTGAAGTTGTTTAAGATGTTTTATTTTTTCTTATTAGCGGCTAACTAACTTTGTGATTTTCGTATGCTAGTGATTTGTTTTTGCAGTAAGAGATAACATTTACATAAATGCTAATGAAAAAAAAATATGCAAAATAAACTGGCAGAAATTCTCAATTAAGGTCTTCTCATTAAAAAAAAGGAAAAAAGACTTATTAAAACAAGTGACACTTAGGGCAGGGCCAATTTTGTACTTTCATAAACAAGATTTAAATGTGTATTCCTATTAAATAAAGTCTTGATATAAATGCCCCAAGGGAACTTAAACTCTGGGGCCATGGCTTATTTAAATTTGTACAACAATGTTATATGCCACATACATAACCATTTTTATTCCAATATATGACTTTTGTAAAGGTCCACTAAGCAATGCTACATCCTATATACGAGATTCCTATATACGAATGTCAGACAAAATCCCCTTTGGACAAAATTCCCTTCATGTATTTTTTTATATCTAGACATAATCCCCTCCATGGGTGGACATAATCCCGTTCATGTATGAAATTTTGAAGTGGACAAAATACCCTCAATAAAATTGTTACCTAGGACAAAATCCCTCTCAGATGAAATTTCTGTTTATAAAGTGGGTATGAGAGCGACATTAAACTAATTAAAATGTTTTTCATACTAATCAATTTAAAACAATTAAAGAAATTGCCTAATCAAATATATTTGTTATGCAGTTGATAATTTACCACAATTATAATAAACACTGCTTAACTAATAAAATTGTTTTTAATGATAATTTGAAAAAAAAAATGTCTTATCAAGCTTATATATTATAATTGTTAACTTGATACATAATTAGAAATCAAAAATCAAAAAAACAAAAGTTCATTATTCATCAATTTTTATGGAGCAAAATAATACATTAGAAACCTATGAAACAAGGGGATTTTGTCCGGATAGGTAAGGGGATTTTGTCCAGCCTTGCAAAAACATGAAGGGGATTATGTCCACCTGGGATACTGACAAAATCCACCCCCCCCCCCCCCCCCCCCCCGGATGAACACTGCTAAACTAATTAAATTGTTTTTAATGATAATAAAAAAAATACAGGTAGGACAAAAGCCCCTCACCCCCCCCCCCCCATCAAACAATTGTTATTAAGAATCTCGTCAGTTTAAATGCAGAACTTGATGTATTGACACAAGTCAAAATCGGTATGTTTAATTTAACAAATAAATGCAATTGTTTTAAAAGATAATTTACATTAAGATTTAAATTTAAAGGTACAAAATTTCTAATTTGATATATTGTGTAATTCGTGTATAATTCATTGATGATATGAATGTTTTTATGTTTATTATATATTGTACTGTACAAATGTAAATGAATATTTTCAGAGAATCGCTTATCAAGGAAATAAAAGTAAAAGGCGCATTCTTGTTTAGATTTATTTGAATTATAACCCAAGTTCCCGAACATTGGGCATGTGAAAAAAGAGGTCATCAGACTGGTCTATAAACCTTAGGGGGGGCTTTTGTTTGATGGACTGGGGGGGGGGCTTTTGTCCTACCTGTATTTTTGATTGGGGGGGGGGGGGGTTGTCCTATGTGTAAATTTAATAGGGGGGGGGGGTGGCTTTTGTCCACCTTGTCTCATTTATAAATGGGGGGGGGGCTTTTGTCCTACACTCTGTACACCCAGTTATGCAAAGGGGATTTTGTCAGAAGGATATTATGTCCGTACACCCCGTAGACATAACTTTTAAGACAATTATTTTCAGAAAGCTTACAATTACATGTGTTTTTCTACTTAGGTGTATATAAATCAAGTCACCGCCAGACCACAATTAGAGCATGATTATATATATCTTATCTTTCAAGTAAAATATTAAAGCTCTAGGTACTGTAAATTCTGAGGAACAATTTTTAAAGACGTAGTCATTTTAAGTCTTATTTCACACACTTAATTATCATTTAGCAGATGTATTATGTATAACTATACATGTTACTTGCATTTCTATGACCTTTAAATATCATTTAAATACCTAAATTAACCAATGAAAATTTTCCTTACCAATATCTTCCTGTTCTTTTAAAGTGTTTAAATATTTAAGGTGCATGGGCCAAACTACTTTTTCAAAGTATCCTGGTACATCAGGGGGATTATATTCTCTATATCTGAAATAAGATAGATGCTATTGAAATGTAATACATCACTTTTCTCTTGATTTCAATGGTGTATGATAACTACATCAGGGTTTTTTCTAAGCACTTTTGGAAACGGGACCCAACCCCTAGAATTGAGAATTTTTATGATGTTTTAGACAAATTGGGAAAAACTGACAACATATTGTATACATGAAATAAGACAAAGAAATCATATATTTGCACATACATGTATTACAATTTGGAACATAAGACCACAATTTTTCTACGACACAGTGTAGTTAAATGTAACAAAATAACCATTATTTTACTTTTTTATGTTTCAAAGAACTGGAAATTTTCTCCTGGAAATTGGGGAAAAAAATTGGGAAAATTTGTTGATATTAGGAACATGACCTTATAACAGTCATCAAAATGGGCCAGAAAAAGTCCTGTACATATTCTTTACTTTTAAAATGAACTAAACTGTGTCCACTGGACATTTAAAAATCCATTTAGAATTTATTATCCCATCTGGTATACAAAATAATTGAAACAAGAGCCACAGATGAGCAGGAGCCACTCTTGACTTTTCCTTATTTCCAAAGGCAAACAAATTAAAACAGGAACATTGTAATGAAAGTTTTCAAAAAATAAAGGAAGGCCAAAAGGACATACACATATATATCTCAACCTATAAACACTGACTGTAGAAAACATATGAGCCGCGCCATGACAAAACCAACGTAATGGGTTTGCGACCAGCATGGATCCAGACCAGCCTGCGCATCCATGCTGTTGGCTTACCAACTCTATTACAAATAGAGAAACTGATAGCGAACAGCATGGTTCCTGATCAGACTGCGCGGATGCGCAGGCTGGTCTGGATCTATGCTGGTCGCAAACCCACTATGTTGGTTTTGTCATGACGCGGCTCAATTATAATATTGAATGTTGTTCTTATCTTTGGGACAAACTTGTAGAGACCCCATAGAGAACATTTCATACACAATATCTAAGCTCTAGCCTTTGTTATTTTTGACGAGAAGACATTTTAACATTTTATTCTATATATATAAGGAAAACAAAATTATAACCCTGGGATCAAGCCAATTTTGACCCAAGAGCTATATCATCATACATGTATTGTTGTTTTTTTTCCTTTCAAAATTTGAATCAATCTGTCCACCAATACCAAAGATATGGCAATTTGAGCAAAATTCAACAACTTGACCATTAGAGTTATAGTCACTTTCAGGTTAAGGTCCTATTTGAAGAATTCAACATGTTGGTGTGGCAATACGGTTGTTTTGACAAAGAATGAATCAAATAACAAAATTATCACAACTCAAATAAATTCAATAATTTGATGGTCTAGGTGATTTTCTTTCATTGTTTTTTCTTTGTTTGGTTTTACAGTGCACCAACACAGTATTGGTGTATAAAGGCAATTCAGAAATCTAAAAAAATTTGAACAACATTATATTTTACGGATGACAACCAAACCAGCAATGGTAACACGACTGTAGGAAAAACAGCTATGACTGCAGCAATAGCAATTTTTTTTCCAAACAGTTCAGCTAATAATGAAAAACTTACTTTCTCCTTTCAAAACAAACATCTCTGTCTACAGATAGGAAATATTTCTTGTCAAACAATTTAGTGAGTGGACTGAAAAACATAAAAACAGTAATGTAATGGCAAAACAAATTTGCACTTACATAAAATATAAAACACTCCTTACAGTAAACAAGAGCAGATTGAACCGGATGATGCTCCCCGAATAGTTTTGGACACAGAAAAGTATACATTTTGTAGTTTTAGAGTTATGTCCCTGACAAAGAGTTACTGTCCTTTGCTTCTACTCAATGAGTTCTATCTACCAACAAAGTTTCATGCCGATATCTCTAAAGTTTCAGAGTTATAACTCCAAAATTAGACAAGGCAGAGTTATGGTTCTTTTGCACTGCACATCTACACAATGAGATCTATCTACCTACAAAGTTTCATTTTGATATCTCTTATGGTTTCAGAGTTATTTTCTGGACAAAGTTTAAAGTGTATAATGAACAAATGGCAATAATTTCAATATTAGGAAAGGCAGAGTTATGGCTCATGTGCACTGCACATCTACCTAATGGGATCTATCTATCTACAAAGTTTCATGTTGATATCTCTAATAGTTTCAGAGTTATGTCGCAGACAAAGTTCAAAGTGTAAAAATAAACAAAGGGCAGTAACTCCAAAATTAGGTGAGGCAGAGTTATAGTTGTTTGCACTGCACATCTACCCAATGAGATCTATGTACCTACACCGTTTTATGTTCATATCTCTTATAATTTCAGAGTTATGTCCCAGCTCTGTGTATCAGCTGGAAGTTATATTTTGTTGACTGGAAAAACAATACAAAGATCTCCCCCTTGTTACCATTCTTATGCACTGCACTCCAACTCAATAAGATCTGTCTACCTATTAAGTTGATATCTCAAGAAGTTTTTGTGTTACCCTCTGGACAAAAATGTGGGACAGCAGGATGGACAAGGCGGCAACTACATGCTCTCCCTTTGGGGAGCATAAAAATCTGTGCTCTTAATAATCAAGCCAAGCTAAGGTGACAGACTAAAGTTGTTAATGGTGTTAGTTTAATTTCCTTGGTGACTTTGTTTTAAAACAGCATCATGTCTACAACAAACTTACTTTATCTTTCCCAAGAGACTTAATATATCAACACCCTTAGTTGCCTGATGCCACAAGTGACTTTAATTCAATCACTGAAACTAGAAGTTTCAGACTATTTACAGTGACTTTTATTATTTCAAATTTCTAAAATCTTAGTTCTCAGAATTCACAAAATCAAGTTAACTTTAACATTTGTCAACTGATATGCTTCCTGGGCCTAAGAGTATCGTAAAATTCCTATTAAATGCCCCCGGGGGCTAAACATTTTCAAAAGGGGGGGCTATTATTACAACCTAAATCCAAAAATCACTGTAAATACATTAAGTGTTAGCAAGTGTTGGTAATAACATTAAAAAGTGTTAAGGTTTTTAAGTTCATATTATACATATTTGTTTTTACTATAAAATAAAATGGATTCTGAATTATTTGAATAAAATTATGGCTTTAATTATTATAATTATGATGAAAAGATTGTTTTCCTTATCAAAAGGCCTGGGGGCCTTTATTAGGGGAGGGGGCGTTTATTAGGAATTTTATGTATGTGTTTACCAAAACAATCTAGTTGATTTTAGCAGAGGTCACATGAAAATAGATGACTCTGTTATGGACATGTGACAATGACATATTTAATCAGTAAATGTTGATTTGTAGACATGAATGGCCGAATTGCATGAAGGAGAATAAATGGTACACAATTTTTAATGCTGTTAGTTATTTCTGTAAATATAGTCAGATATTTATAAAACAAGTTTTGTCATCATAACACATAGTTACATATCATATATATTATAAGAAGTCTGACTGTTTTATTTTTCTTTTATTGTCCAGTTAAATTATGCATTCTAGGCAATTATCAAGTGAAACTACCATGACTATTGCATTATAACAAGTTTGAGTATTAAATAATGTATATTACTGCCATTAATACATGCAACTGTCTCGGAAAATATCAATTAAAATATTTAATGCTTACACAAGACTGTTTGTTAAGAACATCTGTGCATAGCCACTTTATTTTGTAAGTCCAATAGAAAGTTGCTATAAATAGATTAAACTTAATGTTTGAGACAACACTGATCTTCAGCCTTAAAATAGTAATGAGACGCCTCACGACAAAACCAACGTAATGCGTTTGCGACCAGCATGGATCCGCGCAGTCTGATCAGGATCCATGCTGTTCGCTTACAAACTCTATTACAAGTAGAGAAACTGATAGCGAACAGCATGGATCCTGATCAGACTGCGCGGAGGCGCAGGCTGGTCTGGATCCATGCTGGTCGCAAACCCACTATGTTGGTTTTGTCGTGACGCGGCTCATTTATCATACAAGAAAACAATCACAACACATATACATGTAGTTATATAAACTAGCATACCTCCAGCCAAAGATAGAGAACCCTTCTACAATAATAAGCATGTTGTGATTATCTCCCCTGCCCTGCTGTTCATATCTTGATATCATTAGTTGTACTTCATTCACCATCTTGTCCATCTCTAAAGACCTGAAATCTTAAAATGTATAATCTCTACAATAAAATACTGAAATCTTAAAATGTAAAATCTCTATAATAACGTACTGAAATCTTAAAATGTACGAGCGGTGATCAAAAATTTCGTGGACACGCTGCATAAAACAAAAAGTAATAAAGCAAATCACATGAAATTCTAGTATCTTATTAAGTGAGCATATGTCGACAAATTCTCAAAGTATTGTAAAGATTGTACAAGAATTAACGATTCTGCACCAGTTTATATACATAGACATGACAAAACGCGGCGCAGCTCACGACGTCACAAACGGCGTTATGCTATCATAGGAAGTAATCTATGATACCGTTTTGCCTTATAACTTATAACTTTTCAAAGTATTCCCTTTAACCCGCACACATTTTTCATGAGGGAGGATCCAGTCTCTAAATGTACTCGCATACCATTCCTGGCTGAATGATGACAGTATGCATTGGGTGGCTCCTCTCAACTCGTCCAGATTGTGAAAACGTTTCCTATTCAACTCTTTCTTTAACCTGGGAAACAAGGCGAGGTCACACGGGGAAAGATCAGGCGTATATGGTGAATCACTGAGTACTTCTGCTCCAAGCTGGGAACTAGAGAACGACACACTGACGGTTTATTTGTCACACTTTAGATCATCGTTTTTGTCTCGCCAGGCGTCTTTCCAAGATTTACATAGAACTGTATAACTGTCCGAAGTTTTGCTGGATCCGTGACGACCATTTTTGATAAAGCTGTTTTTATCACCTTTTCTTTAAAGCACGAGCGTAAAATAACCGAAACTTCAAAATGTCTTCTAATACTGACAGAATGACGTCATACACATCAAAACAACGTTATTATAACGTTTCCCGCAATTTACTTTGTTTGCACAGGTTTTACATGTGTTTAAATGAGATGAAAACGTTTAAATCACAGAGAAAAAGTAAGCTGCGCCGCGATTTTGATACTTAATGTTTTCATGTTGTCATATATAGATAAAAAATGTATTGGTGTTTTAAAATTTGGTCAATTTATTAAAAAAGCATTGATTAATAATATCCAAAGAGTTCACCTCGGTAGGACGCCACGTTATGGAGATACACACATTGTCCACGAATTTTTGGATCACCCCTCGTATAATCTCTATTATAAAGTTCGGAAATCTTAAAATGTATAATCTCTACAATAAAGTACTGAAATCTTAAAATATATAATCTCTACAATAAAATACTGAAATCTTAAAATGTAAAATCTCTATAATAACGTACTGAAATCTTAAAATGTATAATCTCTATTATAAAGTTCGGAAATCTTAAAATGTATAATCTCTATTATAAAGTTCGGAAATCTTAAAATGTATAATCTCTATAATAAAGTACTGAAATCTTAAAATGTACAATCTCTATTATAAAGTTCGGAAATCTTAAAATGTATAATCTCTATAATAAAGTACTGAAATCTTAAAATGTACAATCTCTATTATAAAGTTTGGAAATCTTAAAATTCAGGGCCAAAACACCATTTTTGGGGAAGGGGCCTCAGCCTTTTTCTTGGGGAAAATATGCGTGATTTTGGCATACTTTGGGAAAAGGGGTCTCAAATTTAACACAAACTTTTAACAAGTTCTTTAAAATAGAAAAGCAAAAAGCACTTGGAAATACTCATAAGGCAGTAAAAGACCTTAATTCAACACCATCATATAATTTTGTTCTAAATTTCAAAAGACTGGGGAATTTTAAGGACCAAACTGGGGAAAAAAGAGGCTAGTTTGGTTGGGGAAGCAGCCTATATACGGCCCTGAAAATGTATAATCTCTACAATAAAGTACACATTGACAGTGAGGACAACTTATTTTCCTTGAAGAAAATGAATAAAACTTAAACAAGAGCTGTCAGTAGGACAGCACGCTCGACTATTCTTCGTGCTTGATAGTAAAAGAGCCTTGATAATGTAAAAATTTCTAAGTTAACAAAAGGGCCAAGGTTTTCACAGTTATAGGCTTTAGAGAAAGTCCTTTTATGCTGTCAAAGAAGTGTATAAAATTTCAACTTGTTTCAAAGCCAGATGTCAATGGAATATGAAAATATTTGAGGTAGTATGCAAACTGTAACGTAAATTCTAAGTAAAAAAAGGGCATATTCTGTCAAAATGCTTGATAGAGTTACCTCCTCCTGTCTAAAGGTTGGGGGCATGATGGTGAACTATAGGGCAAAGTTTCAGAGCCACATATCAATGGACTTAGAAAATATTTGAGGTGTTATAATAAATTTAACTAAAATTCTAAGTTGAAAAAGGGTCATAATTCTGTCAAAATGCTTGATAGAGTTACCTCCTCCTGTCTACAGGTTTGGGTCATGATGGTGAACAAGTGTGCAAAGTTTCAAAGCCATATGTCAATGGACTTTGAAAATATTTGAGAAGTTATAAAAAATTTAACGTAAATTCTAAGTTGAAATGGGGGCATAATTCTGTCAAAATGCTTGACAGATTTACTTCCTCCTGTCTACAAGTTGGGGTCGATGGTGAACAAGTGTTTAAAGTTTCAAAGCCACATGTCAATGGACTTTGAAAATATTTGAGGTGTTACAAAAACTTTAACATAAGTTGTTACGCCGACCCTAGGGTGACTTGGATAGCTCTACTTATTCTTATCTAATAGTCAAGCTGAAAACTTATCTAATGTTATTACTGAACCACAAATTTTTTTCAGAATAGCGTACCTTGTAAACATTTATATAGTCATACATGACTTGACAAGAGATGGAAAAAGGATGAAAGTATCTCATGAGCATAATGCCATTGCACTAACATTTGATAAGTTTGGCATATCTCTTTACGTTAATTTGGACTTATCCAAAACATAAGTTCAAGTTAGTTGCATTTAACTCAAGTTCTAACTAAAGTGAACTTCAGTTACGATAAAGTAAAAGTATGTTAGTAAATAGTGAAATGCTCATCTGCTTCAAAACAGAGGGATTGTCGGGTCAAGTCCTATTGAGATCACGACAGTTTTTATCATTACACCAAATAGTTTGTAGCTTCAAGGTCAGTACTGGTTACTTCTAAAAAGGAGTCTCTAGTTCTATATTCCTTAAGCATTCTTTGTGTGTGTGTGTGTGTTTTGACGCTGTACCAACACAGTATAGGTCATATCATATGGCGACTTTCCAGCTTAACTGGTGAAGTAAAACAGTAAGACCTCAGGTGCACCTCTACATACAAACTGGCATCTGAACCACAGACATTCTGTAAGCTAGCTGGATAGCTTTTTCACATGTAGAATCTGACACTACTCTTGCACAACTTGAACCTATAGTGGTGAGAGGCAAGTGGTTTGAAGTCAATGACCTTCACCGCACAGCCCTTTCAAGCGTTTTTCAAAATTTGCAAATATAAATCTTGTTAACACTAAAAATTCATTTCTTAGATAAATTCAAAGAGTTCCTGAAAATAGAAATACACTGATTTAATTCCTCTCAATAACTTACCTTCCCAGTTATGATGATTAACCTCAGGTATATAAATTGGCTCCAATCTTGGGTCATCCGGTGACAGGAAATATGTATCTTGGCAAATTTTTACACTATTAGGTAATTTGTTCACAAGTTTTCCAGCAAGAGTAGATTTTCCACTATTTGTTGTCCTACATAAGAATGTAAAATCAATAATTAAACAAACATCATTATGTAATTCTGTAGCAAACATGTATTTTAGAAATTTAGTAAGCAGTTGTTAAAATACCCAAAAGATATGCATTTTTGTAGCAAGAAAATACAAACATTTATATCTTTTACAAAAAGAACAAGAGCTACATTTGATACATTGCATGGCCCCATTTTCTGTCAAGGGTTTTTCACAGATGGATGAGAGGGCTTCTTTTATATTACTTCGGTGACATATTTGATATTTGGAAGTCATGGTAACCTTGACTTTTGACATTGTGTCCTATAAGTGGATGTGGTGGGTAGAGCTAAGAGAAAAAGATAAGGTTTGTTTTGGCATAATGTACATACATGGTATTATAACACATGGAGTGAGACATAACACACATGAGCACAAAAACCATGACAAGCGCACCAACACCAGGGATGATACCAAAAAAGATTAAACCCTTATTTCCATTGTAGCCAATGTATAATATAATGTTATATTGCTCTGGGCGTTAGTTTTATGGCGTAAGTATATATTTGCTATTTAGGGTCATGGTGACCTTGACCTTTGACCTCAAAGGGGATTTTGCAGGTACAAGTAGATCACATAAAGTGTGTACCCCTGTTAAGTTTGAAGGCTTTTGATGGAAGGACTTCTATTTATATTTCACATTTGTTTGTTAGTGACCTTGATTTTTCACCAAATAAACTCTGTGGGTCTTGCAGTTTTAGCGCATCATCACATGTACATCTATGAAAAGTGAAAGCTGTGAATAGAAGAGGTAAAGCTTATTAAGGAGCATGCATGGTTGCACCTGTGAAGTTTGGATTCTGTTGATGGACTGATTTTAGTTTTGTAGTCAAGGTTATGTTTTGTGATAAACATACAAATAGAAAACAGCATGCTCTCCTGATCTATCTATACAGGGACATAAAGATTATTACCTTATTTCAATTAAAAAATCTTAAATCTCTTTTACTCTTATTGTAAAACAACATCTTTAAAACACTCATTTATATAGTAACCTATATTGTAATAATTTTAAAATTGACTTACCCACTAAGCCCGATAACAATTACTCGTCCTATTTGTTTTGCCATCTCCATATATCTGTAACAGACAAAATAAGGTATTTTATTTTTTAAAAATAAAATTTTAATAAAAAAGCCAACTTTTTAAAAATGTGTTTTTTGTTTTGCCCCCTTTTGATTTTTTTACCATCCTTATCACAGGGGATTTTTCAAGAAAAATATTAAAAGTTAAAAGAACCACCCCCAAAAAACAAGCATTTTTCAAGCAAAACTAAATATAAGTTAGCTAAACAATGCCACACCAAATAAACCATCCCTCAGCATTTGTGCTTTGAGAGAACATTTTTAACATTTTCCATAGTCTGGTCAATTAATACTGAAGGGTCATAATTTAAAAGAAATCGGTAGTGGTCTACTAAACAAATTGCTACATACAAAATATCAAAACTTTAGCCAATAAGTCTTGCAGTTATGAAAAAATAGAACTAATAGAACTTTTTTAAAAAAATAATGCAATTTGTGTAACTGTAGCTTTGATATAATACAGCAGAGCTCCAGAAAGAATGCACATCAGCGTAAAATACACATAGAATAATCCAAAATCCAGAATTCATGCCCACAGCAGACACTTATATCACAGATACTCTATAGCTCTGTGGTCAACAAAATAAAAATACACATATGTGGCCTGTAAAAGTGTTTTAAAGTAATACCACCAGTGTAGTACTGTGTACAGATATCTAAGTCAGCAACACGATGAAAACTTTTTTAAACATATAGTAAAAATATAGTTTGTTCTAATTCTTAATTGAAAGACTTCTAAAATATCCAGCCAGGGCATTTTTGCCATATCACCAGGACCCAGAATAAGGCCCAATTCACAATCCAAACTAGCCTGTTTTGTTATCAATTCCAAAAAAAATCCCAATAGCAGTCAAAAAAAAATGTTTCAACTTTTAAGGAAAGATTGAACTGTTTTAACTTTTTTTCCAAAGAAGTGACAGGTTTATAATCATACACTCATGATACATATGTAAAAAAAAACAACTAAAAATTGAGATTTCCCAAAATGTTGAATTTTTTTTTTCTTCAAATTTATGCCAGGGGCCTCATCCCAAAATACCTGGAAAGGACTCTGAAAGCTGAGTTCAATATATCAGATGTTACGGGCTTCTTATAGTTTATGATGGTCAAGCCCGACATCTAATAGTAATTGCTCATAATTGAAAATCTGTCTATTGTTTTGCCTTTCAAGTTTCATAAAATCATATTCGTACTTCCTGATGGTGCATAGACAAATATTTTGTTCAAAAAGATTTCATTTGAAACTTTCGACTCATTTTAACACTTGGATTGAATTAGCTAATTAATTAATTAAAAGGATTTAATCATTTTTCGGACATGACAGTTTAATTATTTCGTTAAAGGTATTTATTCCTTACTTTAGTTTATAAATAGTTCAAAATTAATGTATTTACTCACTGACTAACGTGATTTATAGTTCGGCCAGAAAATCTAGCGAAACGTGCTATGGGTTCATGAGAATTTATGATAATATGATGTTGCTTTGCCAAGAAGTAAAAATATCTCAAAGCAAAGTCATCAGAGCCCAACAACAATTATTTTCTGTGTTTTTTTATTTTAATTGAAAGGCGTTGAAAATTAAACATATATATTGATATAATGATAATTATGTAATAATTTTAATTGATGTTATTCAACTGCAACTAATCACTCTTTTTTTTCGCCATTTTGAGATGACAACGATCTATATTCATATTTTCATTAATGTAGACAACATGGCAATTGACATCTTCTAAAATTAAAAATACAAAGACAATTGCTGTATCTTGGTATAATAACATGTAGGCCTATGCATTTTTGACTTTCACTGGCTGGTGAAAATGCCCACTTGGGCTTATGACATAAAAAATCATATTTCTAGAAAAGTAATAAATACATTTCTTTTAATCTTGTTTGTTTATTGAGAATAATATTTGACATAAACAGAAAGAACTAGAAATGTGTCATCATGCCACGGATGCCCCCGAATGCAGCCAAAATTTCAGATGGTGCATTAATTATTTTTTTCATTTTAAGTTCAAAGCCCTTAAAACTTTTCAATGTTAACACAAACCATTTTCATACAATGTTCAAGGCACTGAAATTATTCAGTCTTAACCTTTTAAAAATAGCATTTTGCATATTTGTAGCCAAAAATAATGGCTAAAAGTATGAGTGCTGAAACTGAAAGTTCAAAATTTTTTCCAACATTCAGGAAAGATAAGTTTGTCTAAAGTCATTGAACCACGACCAAATTCAAACTTAAACTGCTTATTCCTAAGATGTATCTATATTATTTTCAAAGTGAAAGGGACATAACTCTGCCAAAAAATCATCAAACCATGACCAAATTCCAACTTGACCTGCCCATTCCTTTGACAGATCCATATGTCAAATTTAAGTTGAATATGTAACACTGTTGGGTAGATAATGAACAGAAACTGTAAATTTCATATTATTTTCAATGTGAAAGGGGCATTACTCTGCCAAAAATCATTGAACCATGACCAAATTCGAACTTGGCCTGGGCATTCCAAAAACATATCCATATGTCAAATTTGAGTTGAATGTGTTGTACCATTGGGGAGATAATAAACGGAAACTGAAAATTTCATATTACTTTCAAAGTGAAAGGGGCATAACTCTGCCAAAAAGCACTGAACCATGACCAAATTTGAACTTGACCTGCGCATTCCTTTGACGCATCAATATGTCAAGTTTGAGTTGAATGTGTTGTACCTTTGGGGAGATAATGAACGGAAACTGAAAATTTCATATTATTTTCAAAGTAAAAGGGGCATAACTCTGCCAAAAATCATAGAACCATGACCAAATTCGAACTTGACCTGTATTTTCTCATGACATATCCATATGTCAAGTTTGAGTTGAATGTGTTGTACCGTTGGGGAGATAATGAACGGAAACTGAAAATTTCATATTATTTTCAAAGTAAAAGGGGCATAACTCTGCCAAAAATCATCGAACCATGACCAAATTCAAACTTGACCTGTATTTTCTCATGACATATCCATATGTCAAATTTGAGTTGAATGTGTGCAACCGTTCTTAAGATAATGAACAGAAACTGATGATGACGGAATGACAGAATGACGGAAGGATGGAATGACGGAACAGGGTAACACTATATGCCCCAGCCATCACATGGCGGGGGCATAAAAATATTTTGCTACTGTCACTTTAGTGAGAATTATTTCCCCTTTTTCATGTTTTTATAACACATAATTTTTGAAGTCCTATAAAAATATGTTACATATGCAAAGTGTAAAATATAATAAGTTAAATAATTCTTTATGCTCTAATTCATTGCACCAACAACTGTCAGCATACATTTCGTTCAGTTTTTAGAGAAAACTTAAAAGTTTATTGTTCCGTGTCAAAGAATTGTCAAAATATAAATGCCAGAAGCAGAATATTTAATCCAAATATATAGAATAAAGCTACTGGTCAAATAATCTTGGGCAAAATGAAGTTGTTGGCAGACTTCCCGAAAGTTAAAAAAAAAGTGTCAGACATTTGGTCTGACAAACCATGAAAATCTTTCGGACCGAAACGAAATCTGTCAGACCGAATAAAATTAATCAAAATCAAAGGAAAACTTGTGTTTGTATTTCTAAGAAACTTTTCGGTTTTGATTTTTTCGCCGTAAAAATCGGCACAGTCCGTACAGCGCATTTTCATCTCCTCCCTGTCATACACCAACAATTCACGGTCCTGCTTCTATTTTTCATTAAATTTTGTCTCAGGTCTATTCTTTTTATCCTTTTACTTCTGTTTTGCACGTTCCTCTGACGTAGATTTTCGTTTTTTCCCACGTTTGGCACCTTTAGCGATGCCATTTTGTATACATGCAACTTGGATAAAAGCCGGACAGTCGGACCCATCCCGAATAAAAAAACGTCAGACCTTATCAAAATTTATCGGACATGTCCGTCGGACTGACGTATTTCGGGAAGTCTGGTTTGTAACATTTCTATTAAGAATTTTACATTACAACGTAATTTTTATAAACTTCAAATATTTTGTTTTTCCAGAAAGTGGGAAAAAGGGAAATAATTAAAAGAAAATAAAAGATAACCAAAATATTTTTATTTTGATTTGTATTACAGCGAGTTGGAAGAGCTGGCCCAAAGGGCCTGCTCACAAAGCGAGCTTTATGGTAACGCGAGTACCTGGTAGATAGTGATGGTTTTGAAAATTTTCGTCCGTAGTACTGAATTAACACATCGCAACTTTTCGAAAAACAAGATAATGATAAAAACTGAGGTATTCTGATTGAAAAGGAAGCGTAGACTGGTGTCCTGCGCTCTTATATTACCATAATTGGACGGGAACAAGAATAAACAGAAGCAGTGTATGAAATGCCGAAAAAATGAACAAATATTTTTTAAACTATTTCACAGTAAAAGTAAATCGAGCACGCTTTGAGGCTTTGCCTTTTTCATATTATATAAATTCTTAATAAACAAAACAAGTAAGAAAGAAACATATTTATTATTTATCTAGAAATACCGTAAAATTCCTAATAAACGCACCTCCCCTAATAAAGGCCCCCCCCCCCCCAGGTCTTTTGATAATGAAAATAATCTACTCATCAGTGCTGAACTCGTAATTAAATACATAATATTATTCAAATCATTCAGAATCCATTTTATTTTATAGTAAACACAAATATGTATTATATAACTTTAAAACCTTTATACGTTTTAATATTATTACCAACGCTTGCTAACACTAAATGTATTTACAGTGATTTTTTTGATTTTGGAAAAATGTTTTTTAATAATAGCATCCCCTTTTGGAAAATGTTTAGCCCCCGGGGGCGTTTAATAGGAATTTTACGGTATGATATTTCATGTCTTAAGCCCGATCAGGCATTTTCACCACATATAGTTTTGAAAAGTGCCGTACGGAAGGACAATACAGTGTGTCCTGGCTAGCCGTACATTACTCTGACACTGCTAGAACTTTTGGTTAACGGTACAGACCCTTCCTAATTATGATTGCTTCATTGTCATTGACGTAAACACAAAAAATTATGAAAAGAACGTAACAATACATCAGCTGATCAGATATTGTAACAAACAATAATCCTAACAATAACATATCACAAAAGCTGTGACAACGACCTTCAGAGGAATCGATAATCAATGTCCTGGTTGTTCTTCTTCCCAAGAATCCTCCTCTTCTACTAATGTATTAGAGTTATCTGCCCCTTTATCATTCAACTTGTCTAAAAACGCTGATAAAAGTCGCTTATTGAGATGATCTGTCTGGGTTATTTCTCTCTCTGGATTTTCTGATACTTCAACTGAATCTGTATAGTTATTATTAGAGATGTCACCTCCGTTTTGAATGTTTTCCCGGTTAATTTCTTCACTCTCTCCGTCAAATTGATTCTTATCCGCCATTATAATAAGACATTTACGAATGCACTTTCTATAAAATCGTTATGGTATGACTAGCACTAAAGGTCAGACACTTACATTGATTTTCCCATATACTTACATTATAAGAAATGGTCACTAACCCTACATTAAAATTGAGTTTTCATGCTAAGTTGTGATTTTTCCTGCAGAATGAAATGCCTGACACGTTAAAAAGTTCCTGTTATATAGGGGTAGCCAACCAATTTATTTTGCAAAAGACTTGAAAGAGGATTAACCAACACTCCAACAACAATCGATCTAGACAATATGGTTCAGTGGGAGAAACAGTTGGGCATGGAGTTTAACCCTTGAAAATGCCAACTCATCCATATCACAAAAAAAAAACAACAACATAATTAAACACAAATATATGCACCATGGCCAAGTCCTAGAGTCGGTCTCAAATGCTAAATATCTCGGACTAGTTCTGTCTGCAGACCTTAAAATATCTCGAATAACTTCCAAGGCAAACAGATCCCTTGGCTTTACCAAAAGGAGTGTAATTACTAAAAATTGAAAGTGGAAGAACTAGCATACAAGTGCCTGGTCCGGTCACAGGTTGAATATGCTTCAACTATTTGGTCTCCGTACACTTGGAACAATATTGACAAAGTTGAGATGATCCAGAGACGTGCAATAAGATATGGGTAAAAAGGTATTACTCCCCTCTCTCTAGTGTCACAGCCATGCAGGAAGAACTGGGCTGGCGATCCCTTGGACATCGCAGATTGGACTGTAGACTGATAATGTTTTATAAGATATATCATAACCTAGTTGCAATTAAATTCCCACCATATTGTTAAGCCCCACATAGATTAACCAGACATATGCATCCCTTATCCCTACGTCAAATATACATTGTAGTACTAGTCTTGCTCCCAGTGTTTTTAAATTATTTTATCTCTTATCATCTTCTTTCACTATTAACATTTTAACCATGACTAGAATACATTTTCAGTCTCACCTTCCTAGCATGTTCTTCCCTCTACCTGTTCATGGTGCTCGGACTTTTCTTTTTTTGCTTTTCTTTTCACCTTTTACTAACAATCCGACGTGCACTTAATTCCCGACTTTAACACTCGTAGGGGTTGGCAGTATCCAGAGATAGAAAGATAGATATGCACTTTTTCAGCCTATCGCTGGCCATATTACAATACAAAAGTATGGCCTAAAGGAGGGGTTGGTCTATACTAAGTACTGAATATGAATTCACATTCGCGAATATGAACAGAATACCGAATATGAATAGAATACCGAATATGAATATTATTTTCATAAAATTTTGGCATAAAGTCAAAAATTGACACTATTATTATAACATAAACCAGGACTATAACAATACCTCTAGCTATTTTTAAAAAATAGTCGAGCTAAAAATGGTTAAAAAATGTACAGATATTGGTAATTATAATCCAGTTTGAATAATACTTTCAATAACAATCATGAATATGAAATATGTGGTAGAAGTATTTATAAGTTATATAACGAAACATTATATCTTACTAACAATATATATTAAGATATGTTAGATCATTTTACATATTATAGAACTAAGATGTACATTTATTAACTTAAACAAATTCTCACACTGAAGTATCATTGCAGTAAAACATTTAGTGTTCTTTTCTCTTTAAGTGGACTTACGGGGTGTATGTTTCTCAGTTAATTAGATTCGCTAGAGCTTGTAGCAACGTAAAGGATTTCAACGAGCGGAATATTTTCATTACCAGCAAGTTTCTAAAACAGGGCTACCGCTATTATAAATTACGGAAATATTTTACAAAATTTTACAATCATAATTTTTATTTAATTTCAAAATTCATTAGTGATTTAAAAACTCTACTGCGACCAGGGATTAGCCAGCATAGTTTTTTTTATGGCGATGTGATTTACAAACTTCGAAAGATTTTGGGTCATGGTAATTTTTCTGCTGTTTTTACTAAAATCATTAAACGTTTTATTAAAAGAAGTTATGATCCTACTATTTTAAGACATACTGCATGCTTAGTGTTCAACCCTTTTACAGTTGGACACTACGTTTTCCTCTTTTGATTAAATCTGACGGACCAAGTGGGAGAACTATGATGGTCAGTTCTTAAAGCCCTTTGGGACTGAATTGTCTTAATTTTCGTCTTCTGCCTTGCTTCGTCGGACTCTTGTAGGTGTTTTTCTTGTTGCTCTGTCTTCCTTTAGGACATTGAGAACTTTTGTTATGGTCATTTGGGTTTACTTTCATATGTTTCTACATGATCATTTTGGTGTTTTACTTATTTAACCTTTTGTAACCATAACAACTGTTAGAATTTCACTTGGCGGGTATTCAATTTATTTATACTGTCTCGTTATAGGAACATTGTTGGGCTAAGAGTGAGGTTTGGTGCACCATTAGCCGGTTTAAACTCCCCAGCAGTATTTGTGCTGCTGACCGTTCCAAGGCGGCGTCCCAATGTGTTCCTCAGATGTATGTCTATGTTGTTCCATACTTGCTTCATACACTTGCTTGTGTTCCTTGTTGTTTTCTCGTCTACGGTAAGTATCTTCCCCTTTGCCCCTAGTTTTTTTTCTTTGATTTTACCCCCACCCCCTCCCCTGGTCTCTTGTCCCCTTCCCCTGTGCTCTTTGACGTTGTGGGCCTATTATTCAATCATTTATTTGTTGTTTTTTTAATTCCTTATTAGTTACAAATTATTTACTTTTATTCAATCATTTATTTGTTTTCTTTGAATTCCTTATAAGTTACAAATTATTTATCATTTTAGTGATTAACCTGTCCGTGCTCTGTCTTGTGCCCTGTCCTGTTTTTGTTTGGGGTCCGCCTGGGCTCCTTGCCACTGATTCTTGTTGCTGGGTCTTATGGGGGTTGCGTTCATTGAACGCCGCCTTTCCTTGTTGATCTTGTTTATCATATTGTAACATGCACATGTATGCTTTGAAAGTCATGATGATGAAGAAGATGATGAAGAAGATGATGATGATGAATATGATGATGAATATGATTATGATGATAATTATGGGTGGTATTTGTGCTGCTGGTGAAACAGATGACTATAATTTCACTATTATGATATATGTGATCACAATGAAGGATGATTATTATCATTATTATATAATAATGGTGATGGTACTGATGATGATGATGATGATGATGATAGTAGTTCTTCTGATTATAATTATGTAGATGATGGACGTGGTGGTGGTGATAATGATTGTTTTTATAACATATGTGCTATTAGTATGAAAGACATACACTTTTAATACTAAAACGAACCTGTGACGTCCTTATTATCAACATTAATTACAATGCAAAGAAATCATTATTTGACAAAAACGAATAACGATACAATGTCGAAGTAGGTTGTACGAATGTATTTTATGAGGATAATGTAAATACATAAAAAAAAACAAGTTTAAGTACAATATAATACATATGTTATAAAGTTATTAACATTTTTTTGTAGAGTCAGTAAAATGGCATTATCTTTTTTTTGAATATCACTTGTTTGAACGAGATATTTTCAGCTTGGTTTATCTGCAAAAGTTCTCATTCAACATTTTCCAATAAGATTCGTTTAGCATTCGTTGTTTCCTACGTTAAGATGTATTTTTACCGGCAGAATGCGTTTTAAGAACAGTTCTTAGTCCGTTTTTTCGACACTATATTTGGATTTTGCTTTCCCCTTTCTTGTCGGAATTTCTTCTCTCTATTATCTCTAGAATCTTGGGTCATGTTTTCCCTTTTGTCAATGTCGACACGATGATGCATGAACATAGTATCTAACTCATAATTACAAGTTCCTCTTATAGCCCGTGAATGTTCTGTGATTTTATTACTTACTATTTCGGCAAACATTTCAATAAATTTGGGAATATCGGATTTTTTCCAACCAGCTGCGCTTTTCTGGATATGGTTGGCGGACTCACAATTGTTGTTAGTCCACCCACTAGTTACTTTTCCATTGCGACACGGCTCAATGACACCTGCCTTTAATTTTGGTATTAGTATGTCGGTAAAGTAAAGCATAAATTTTTTATCACCAACATTTTTATCAAATTGAGCAATATGTTCTTTTATTCTATCTTCTATTAACTCATAAGTGTCAGCATCCGTCGCAGATGTGAGTCCATCTAGTTCATAAATTGCTTCAATGATAACCTGGCGTTCAGACTTTGGATAACCAACAGAATCCTCTAAATATCTATTGGGTTTTTCACGCAGGTGTGTGGTACAGAGCGTATTGGTGCTCCTGACAGACACCTGTTTATCGCTACATTGAAAGCTCCCTCTTCGTCCGAACCCGCGGTCATATTTTTTTATTTCTTCGTCCGTCAGATTGTCTGCAATATCATGAAAAAAGGATGAGTATGTTTTTGCCGACGAATTTGTGTGTATAAACGTAGGTCCAAAGGATCTGGAGTGTTCTCATGTACTTCGTTTTAAGACAGAAAGGTTCTTATAAACTGTTGGCGTTACATGAAAATCTCCTAGATTGTACGTTTTGTCAACACCTAAAACGGTTCTCCCTGTTTCACAGAACCGTTTAATGTCTGTTATTTGTTGTTCACTGCATAAGGTGATTACAGGGTGATTTAATTCTTTAAGGTGTTTAACACAATAAACAAAGGCATGTGCCTTGGTCATTTCTTCGATTGAGATAAGCTGATCTACCGCATTTGCAGGAACTTCCTTGGTTTTATTATGAGAATACTTTATGTTTCTCAGTTGTTTTTCATTTCTCTGTTTAAATCATCACTTATTTTTTGGTTCACAGTTTTTCCACAGATTACACGGATTGATGTTAAAGCCTTTCTTTAAATTCTCGATGTACTTCCCGTTAAGTTCGAGAATACATGGGGGCATTGTTTGATTTCAATATAACATCGCTGACATCTTTTTGACAGTCCTAATGCCATTTGTTGATTAAACGGTGTTGTTGTCTTCCCGTGGTCGGCTCGCGGTCTTTTAAGTTTCCTACCTGGCTTTATGCTTCCGCCAGGTCACTTTTTTCA